AGTGGTGGCCCAAAATGACTTAGCGTTAACTTACATTAGCAGGGAGAAGAGATTATGTTGCAACAATATAAAGTCTGAAGCTGAGAGGCATTACGTTTGATGAGCAAACTCACATGAACCTAAATGCCATCTTAATAACCTAATGCCTATTATATCTATTGCTTTATATGTCACAGTGTAAGGGAAAAACAGTATTTCATAAAAATAAACGTGTAATAGATGAATAAAACCCTTATCTTCACCAGATGGGTGGGCTAATCTGAATGGCAAGCCATCAACTAAAAGGAAAACTCTTTCTTGAGCTTTGGCTTCAGCAGTGCCCATACCTGCCAATATATTACATGAAGCAGAAGAATATTAAAAGGCCTAAAAATACCCCAAAGAAACCCACATATATACAATCCATTTACACATACCCGAACAGCCAAAGGAAAAAGTACATCATTGCATGCAAATGCCTTTGCCCAGTCATGGCTCAATCAGTGGGATGGAGCAGGAGGGAAAGATTTACACGAAACCCACTTTTACCAGCGCATAAAAATGGGCAACATGTCAAAAAGCAACTATAAGTCTGCTGCAATGCTCCACAGTCGTTTTTCTCTTCTTCCTTTTTTCGTTGTAGCCCCCTCAGTTTAAATGTGTACACTATTAATGTCAGTGTCGTTTGGCAATTTCTACCAGTACACAGTCTAAACGGGGGAGTCAGTGGGAGTGACAGCTGTGTTAAAGAAATGAGGCAAACGCTAATGCTAAGCCAGTGTGTTTTATAGTGAAAGGGAGGCATCTGGGGTCGCGTTAGACACTGCGCTTACTAAACAAAGTCTCTCATTTGGAACCCATTAGCCGCATGAGTGTCCTGCTGTTCGAGCGAGAGTGCTGAGTGTGCCACGAGAAAGCCTTTAACAGGGTTATTACAGCAGCACAAGCCTGACCGTCAGCTTTAAACCCAGCATTCACACTGACCACCCAGTCCAACAGGCAAAGTACTGAGCAGAAACAAGAACAGAGGAAGATGCAGAGCGAGTCTGTCTGTCCATTCATCCATTCATCCATCCATCCATTCATCCATTCCTCCATGCATCCATCCACCCAACTCTCCATCTATCTATCTATCTATCTATCTATCTATCTATCTATCTATCTGTCTGTCCGTCTGTCTGTCCATCCATCTATCTCCCAACATCTCACCTTTCCACTCTCTATCCCTCTATCTTTCTATCCACCTTTCATCGCTTACTCTCTATCTCTGATTCATTCTCTTCCTCATTCTCTTTCTCTCTATCTTTCTGCTGTCTATGTATGAGTCCCCCTCTCTCTCTTTCTACCTTTCTTGCTCCTTTCTCAACCATCTGTTCTCTCTAGCTTTGTTCACTTCTTCTTTTGCCATTCTCCTCTCTCTCTCTCTCTCTCTCTCTCTCTTTCTCTTGTGCTCTCTCTCTTTCTTGCTATCAACCATCTGTTCTCTATAGCTCAAATCACTTCTTCTTCAGCCAAATTATCACTCCCTTTCTCTCTCTACCTCCTCTTTTCTCTTGTGCTGTTCATCTATCTATCTATCTATCTATCTATCTATCTATCTATCTATCTATCTATCTATCTATCCTCTCTCTCTCTCTCTCTCTCTCTCTCTCTCTCTCTCTGTCTCTCTCTCTCTCCACTGTTGCTCTACCTTCTCTGTCTCTTTCTACTCATGTCATCATCTATCTCTCCCTCTCTCTGCTACCCCTGGGACTGTCTATGTTTTCCCCGGACCCTCACTCTACAGCTGTACTCACTCCCTCACACACACTCACAGTAGTCATGGAAACGCTTCCTAGAAGCGCAGACATTATTAGCTCTCAGTGTGGGTGTCTAGTGGGAACATTACTCTCTCATGTTTGTCCTACACCAGACGCTAGCAACACATTATAGAGCGCAAACACAGTTTCACAGCTTTTCTGACACTCATGCACAGAAATCACATCACTATAAACACGATGAGGAATCACCATGGACCAGGTATCACCATTTATTACGTAACACAGTGAATATTGAATACTGATTGCGGCTTCGTTTGGTTCCTCAGTTACATGAAAGTGCAGTTCTCTTGGCAAGAGTGAGACAGGCAAAATAGAACCACATCCAGTGACACAAGGGTGGTCAGGCAGAGCACAATAATACGAAAATACCTTCAGCTTAAATAATATACAAATTAGCATTTTAATCAGTTAACAAGTGCATTCCTTCTAATAACACTAGACCTCTCAGAAAGCTTTATGTTACCATTAATGTTTACCCTGCAAAAGTACTGAGTGTCTCAGAGCCTTATGATCAAAGCCTTGCACGTTCTATTGCATTGGGTTTAAATGGCCCTGTAAGTTTAGGAGGCCTCCAATTATCACAATTACCTCATATACAAATACACAGTCATGTGAAAAAGGAAGTACACCCCATGAAAGGTTTAGACTTTATCCACATAGTTGGACATGCAGATGTTAGATCTTTATTTAAACAATGTTGACAGATGTGACCTAAAATGAACATTTTGCCACGGTTTGTATAATAGAAATTTACAGACATGCAGTTTTCTTACGTAGAAAAAGTAAGTACACCCCTACACCTGATCAGGTGCTAATGATTAAAACATCTAGGAGGAAACTGTCTTATTTGAACCTCTGGTCTGATTTGCTCTAATTGGAGTGTGTGGTATCATCATGCTTTAATCAATAGAGCTCTTATAAATGCCTATGAGTCTGGGAAGGGGCTTAAAAATATCTCCAAAATATTGGAAATCAGTCATTCCACTGTCAAGTCTTTTACAAGTAGAGAAGATTTTAAACCACTGCCGATTTGGTCAGGCAACACTGACCTGAGAGTAGAATGTAACATGCTAAAAGAAGAACCCCAGAATTTCATCACAGGACCGGCAGGCAGCTCTTGCCATCGTTGATTTAAAGTGCATGCATCTACCAGTAGAACAAGACTTTACAAATTCAACCTAAATGGGAGTGTGCCAGGAGGAAGCCTGTGCTGCCTAAAAAGAACAATGGGGCAAGGCTAAAGTTTGCTAATGAATATACAGGCAAGGTTAAGGACTTCTGGAACAATGTGCTATAGACAGATGAGTCAAAGATAGAGTTGTTTGGCCACGACACCAGAACCCATGTAAGGTGAAAACCAAAGACAGCATTTGATCAGAACCTCATATCATCTGTAAAGAGTAATGGTGGAAATATTATGGTTTGGGGCTGCTTAGCTGCCTCAGGGCCTGGCCAGCATCCAATCACAGAATCAACTATAAATTCTCTTTCGTACCAGAGAGTGCTTGAGGAGAATATGAGGTCATTGAGGTCATTCCGTCAAAAAGAAATCAGGGGTGTCTAATTTTCTAAAGTAGATGATTACAAAGTCAAAATTACATTGTTTTTTTCTTTTATTATTGACCATTTATCTAGGTTGTGCTTACTTGTTCACATGACTGATACAGTGACCTGCATAAATATTGGCACCCCCGGTAAACACGAGCAAAACAGGCTGTAAAAACCATTCTTTATTGCTAATCCTTTTGATATTTCATTCAAAATATTAGCAAAAATCGAACCTTTATTTGAAGTACAATGACTGAAAAAAATTAAATCTTATCACAAATAAGAATGTTTCTTTACAGCTCCTCTTGCTCATGATTACCAATATTTGAAGTGCCAATATTTGTGTAGGACACTGTATTTATATGTTTTTTTCACTTAACATACTGATTATATATGCTTCATATTGTGCAAAGCAGTTCTCAAGTAGGCAGTTATATACACACAAACCATTAGACTCTGAATGAATGATTAAAATTCCCAAAACATTCTGAAGAAATCACAGAAGTGATTCCTGAACTACTAACGCAACAAAGGTGAAGGCCGTCAAGAATAACTGATTGGGTGAGAGCTAATGCTAACCTCACTTTAGCTATTATTAGACAATTATCAGTAAAAGAATAACATTTCATTGTCTTTCTTTTTGCATATTCCCATCTCCACCCTGAGGGTCAGAGCACAGGTCAGCCACACTGTAGCCCCCTGTGCTGTAGAAGAAACAAGTCCATTCATTTGATACTGCAAATGTGATATGAACTGGAAAACACTAAGAAAACACTGCATGGATTGTATTATATTTACGGAACCTTAAACATGAGCACAGGTACAAAAATAATATCATCATTATGATTTCTTGAATGAACAGCTAAAACTTTTGGTCCTCTCTAAAATACTTTAAAAATGTTTGCTGTCCCACTTCCAGGTATTTATATTCCAGACTGTGTCTCAGCTGCACACACACAACTCATCATTTGCTTTAACAGATTAATAAGCTGATCTTAACTAGAAAACAGTATAGTCAATTTTCATTGTCATCTGTATCCTTTCTATCACACATGATTACAGAAAATATTAATAAACACTTTGATATTAAACAGAGAAAGCATTACAGTTTATCAGTTCAGTCACTTAAAAGAAACATTTAAAGGAAACTGCATTCCTGATGAGATTCCACGAGCACAGCCATTTGTAATAGATAAACACCAGCACACCTGATTGACTTTAGTTGCTAAAATTAAATTCATCCTTTGAAAGCTCTGAGCTCGGCGGCTCTTTGACATCATAAGCCTATGCCTTAATTCATTCAACCTATGACCTCAGTTATGAGGCTTCTTTTCTTAAAGGCTGCTCTTATGCACGGACATTAGTGTGCACTGAAAAACATGATGCACTTCTGCAAATTGTAGTGCACAATTTCTATTTATTTGCTGAATTTAACATATTAGGAACCAAATAAAATAAATAAATAAATAAAATGTGGCCTGTGCAAAAGTTATGGCACATTTTATATTCTATGTTTTATTTTTTCCAGTATGTTAAACTCAGCAAATAAGTAGAAACTGTGAACTACAAATTGCAGAAAAATGCCACATTTAAGTTCTGTGTAGAGGATGTGTTAACTTAGTTTCACTTAGAAAATCAGCAAAACAGGTTGGTGTTCAAACTTTTGCGCACAACTGTACATCATTTCCACATGAATGCACAATTTTACATCAACACAGTTTTGAGTGTCAGTTTCCTTCATGTGGAGATGTACACATTTGAATAAAAGTGAATGCATCACTTTTTCCAGTGCATCTGTCCAACTTGAAAGTTCAGCACCTTTTGCTATGTCACTTCAGTCCTCACAAAAAGGTCACATCGTCTTGCGACTGCACCCAGCGCCAGTGTGCGTCATACTCCAAGTGCACTTTACCATTCATTTTACAGCTTTCCAGCTCCACCTTGCCATTTTTATACGCTTTGCCTTTAGGGCTGAGGTTCTTCCCCAGCTTCTCAGCAAGACGGGCCTTGGGGGAGTCCATCTCAGCAGCTCTCTTCAATGCACTGTCCAGGACTCCATTATCACTCCTGTTGGCTTCTGGATTATTGGAGTCACGGCTGACCACAGAAGAAGGTCTCCCAGCTTCGGGTGCTGTTTTGGCCTGCCTCGCTTGGGGATCTTCTTTAGGGACGTCCAGTTTTACCTTTTGATTTTTCACCTGTGACGTTTCCGTGCCCTGTTGGGCGGGGCATACCACAGAGTCCGCCCCGCTGGAAGGGCAGTACTCGTCCAGGTCATCCGCCAACGTGTCCAGGTAGCTGCCGATGGAGATGTTGTCCAGCTTGTCGTGGGGATCCTGCAGGCTGCTCCAACTGCCCCTCCACGAGGTGTCTGGGCCCTCTCCCAGGCTGTACTGGCTACTGGTTAGGCTGCTGCAGTGGCTAGTCAGTGGCCCACGCTCCTCCAACAGCCATTTCACTGCCTCGATGCCCTCATGCAGTGCCAGCAGCTGCTGTAGGATCCGCACATCCACCGCCCGCAAGTGAGCCTGAGCAAAGAGACACAGAGGCACTCGCGTTAGCAGAGAGATGATGAAGGAGCAGGAGAGAATCTCTGCTCAAATCCAGTGGAAACAGAAGGAGGAGTTAAACTGAATTGTAACATTACAGCCAAAGTACAATTCCGTGCAAAAGAAACCACCCTTTATTTATTTCATTTACAGTTTAAACCGCCAACCCCTCCAAACTTTAGTCTTAGAGGTTGGATACATTTTCTGCTTTTTTATGACCTCAGTAATCCCAAACACACATTCAGTGATGTTGAGATCTGGACCCTGGGGGAGACCAGTCTATTGTTCTGAGAACACCAGCAGCTTCTGTGTTTGATTTGCAATTAGTTGTCTATTTCCCTTTTTCAGTAACAGCTTCTTGACAGCTACACATCCTTTCAGACTCATAGTGTTGAGTTGTCTTCTCCAGTGAAAGGATGGACAGAAACACTTGTGGATTTAGAGTGGAGCTTGATTTTCTCTCATCTCTCAAAGATGAAAACTTTAAGTACAGTTTAGCTGTAAAAGGTTTGGTGGTCTACCAGGTCTTGCACGGTTGATAGGAGTCCCATTTTCTCTAGATCTTCTAAAAATGCATTGAACTCCATTTTTGGAAACTCCTACGTTTTCACTTATTTTCCTTTGACTTTCCTCTTCTTTATGCAAGTGGATTATCTATAGTCTAATCTCCTCAGAAATATCTCCTGAAAAATTAATAACTTGTATTTAATGGCCATTTTGACTGTTAATTAGGTAAATGAAGGGTGGTCCCTGAATTTTCCACAGCACCGTAAATCCATAGCATTCTATTGTATAAGTGTAGTTTTCATAACTAGGCAAAACTGTCACTACTGTGGTAGCTACATCAACTTTCTTTAGGCCTATTTATTGATTTTTCATTAACCCCTTAAATGGCAAGGGCCCACTGGTGGGCCCAAAGTTTTATTACACACTTCTATAACCTAAGACTAGCTTAACCAGTTTGAAGTCCCTGTAGTTACTGAATAATAAGCCTTAGTATGTAATAAGCCTGGGATTATACTCAGTGGCCATTTTATCAGGCACATCTACCATCTTGAATTGTGGATCATTCTTAGCACAACAATTATACTGACACAGTAGTTGCATGGTTGTGTTAGGCTTTGGTACGAGTGTGAGGTGCAGCAGTGTTTCCATGTCTTTATGGGTGTCGCTGCTGGATTGAGAATACTGTCAGACAAAAATATCCAACCAACAGCAGCCCTGTGGTTAGAAACAGACCACTGGTAAGGGGGTTGGGGGCCTAGCACATAAAGATGAACTATAAAGATGGACTACAGTCTCTAACTGTACACCTACAGGCTGTACCAACAAAGTAGACGTGTCTAATAAAGGTGTAATAATAGGGATCAGAGTTCTAATCACAATGCATAGTATCACAGCTGAAACCTCCATGTAATACCACACAATACTGAAAGACGAAGGGCTACCCAACCTCCTAAAAATCCCAAATGAATCCATGAACAGAAGCTGTGACGTATAACATTTAAATGAACAATTGGGAGATGAGCCAGCTGAAAGGGAAAAGGAAATGAAATGCACAGCTCTAAATCTGTTCTAACAAGGCTGATTGGACCCGTGTGTATACGCAGCAGTTGTGCTTAATCTTAGTGTGAGTTTGGGAGTTGTGCTGACTGCTGACGAGAGCCAGAGGGCCATTACAGTAAGTGCTGTTGAGATTTATGGAGCACTCTGACAACATCAATTCTCTGTAGCGAAGCCTTCACCAGCTCTCTGCTCTCTTCTGCCCACAGCACAGTGGACAGCCTTTCGTACACAAACACAAGCTAACACTAAACAGTAAACATTATGCTTCATAACATACTGTAACTGACACAGTTTCTATAACAGATTAAGCAAGAATTTCATTTCTTAATTCTGCACTTCTGAATGAAAGAATTCAGACAACTTAAATATGACAGAAATTTGGAGTAACTTAAGCTGATGAATTTAAACTGAATACATTGCTGAGACAATAACTCAAACAAGTTACTTTGAGTTAAGATGAATTTATTCAAATGTATCATATTCACTATTTTTCTCTAAGTTGACTTTAAAGGCAAACAGGCCAATTATGAGAAGTTTATAAAGATGGTTTGAGATTTAGTGTCATCAGATTGCAGGATCTGAAAAGTCCTTCGTCTGCAGTCAGTGATGTGACAAATTTAGTCATCCCATCTGGACATTTACTGTGTTAATATCAGGGCAAAAATAAAGAAAATACAGCCTGTATATGGATCATTCTACTGAACTGGTTGAAAGTCAGCTTTCAAGAAAACATTTTGGACCTTTAGCTGACTTAAACTGACTGACTTAGAGCTAAAATGCTTTTGCTTTGAATGATCCTCTACCTTAATTATGTTTATTTTATTAAAATAGATGATTGAAGATTCCACTTTGTCACTACCAAAACAATCATAACACTACTGAAACTTTAGCAAATGTTTCAGTAGTGACTGTTTTGGTAGTGATAATTTTAGCTAAATTGGAGCAGAACTCAAAAACACTAGCCAGTACATGACTAGCAAGCACAGCTTTGAACAGTCGTATCACATAAAATCATGATATTTTTCATTAAAACACAAAAACGTTACAGAGAATATGTGTTTCGGTAGTGACAATTCTTAATGTTACACTGATATTCAGACTTCAGGACATTTACTCAGAACAATGGGATCTAACTGTTCACCATAAGGCCATGAAGGACAGGGATGCACTTCCTGATCTAAAATGCAGAGGTGTGGCTAAAATAAGTCTCCGCCTATCGACTCTTTCTGTTTTGGTCGTGACATGAAAACATTGGACAGCATTTTTGAAAAAAGTTTTCTTTATTTATATGTAAAAAAATGTAATATTAGTATAATGTAAGTTCAAATTTAGGGGTTAGGGTTTGGGACAAACACCTGCCAGTAGAAAGTACCCTATAAATAATGCTTTGTATATATGGGGGGGTTGGTGGTCCAAATTTGAACCAATTTGTCCACATATAAAACAACTAAATATGCACAGTTGTAATGGACGACAGATAACCTGTCACCTCAGCACATGTGGATCAGCTTCTAATGTTTTTAGGCAACACAAAAGTTAACAAGTCTTAAACATGTTCCACCTGATTCAGTGGGTGAGCTGTTGGCATATCCTGTATCAGTTTATCTGCATTCTCAGTGAATTTAGACTGCATCAATGTTTACATTTAAATGTTTGGACTTAATAACGCGTACTTAATAAATGTTTTACCTTTAGTAAGTGAATGTTAAAACCCAATATAGGCACTTTATGTCTTATAAATATGTTATGAAGTTTTTTTGTGTAGTACACTAATCTATCCTCTGTAAAAGCAGCTTCTAAATGGACAGAGTGCTCTTACAGTGCATAATACATGGGCTCATACTGCTCTTTTAACCCCTGGAGACCAAATCAATACAGAGTCAAAACAGAGAATATTGATTCTCAGAATGCTCCTCTGACAATTTTGCAAATCAATATTGTAAACTCCATTCACATTTCAGCTGTCATCACATTAGAGAAACACTATGTCTACAGGCTCGAGCTCCTCTGCAAGACTTTATGATGTGTATAGCAATGCACAATACTGTTCAAAAGTTTGGAATCACTTAATAGTAATCATAATTTTGAATTTTATTCAGTTATAACTTCTACAGTGTAGATTGAAATATTATAACTACACACTAGTATGTCACTAGTATGTAGTCATTTCTTGATGAGTTATCTTCAAATATGAGGCATTCTGGCTGTTTATTTTATTATAACCTCTGGTTTATAACTGGTTTTATATTATTGAAAACAGCGATTCCATACTTGTGAACAGTATTTGCAGGTCTGATCCATAATTAAAGAATGAAATTTTATGCATTAGTTTGCTATATCAGTATTCAATATGAATGTCTTAATTCATCAAAGCACTTACATCAATGGAGTATCAACAGGGATGTCAGAGATTCGTCAGGATGCTCACAGCACGCAATGAAACATTTGGTGATTTGTTTGAGGGCTTGTTTACATATTGCAATATCACTATAACAGTTAACACAAAAATAACGGTTAACAAACGATATATTGTGCAGCCCTGTATGATAATGTATGGAGCAGTAATACCCTCTCAGTGAGGCACTCTGTTGATGACAGCATTAAGCACCCATTCTCCGCTTCCGGCAGCTTTTCCTCTGAACTCTACGGAACTCCAACAGCTTCTACCTCCCACTGATATCCAGGCTGTTGTAGCCCATCTGTACTCTCAGAGCCACCAGTCACAAATCATCTCTGTCAAAGACCTGCTCATGGATTGGGCTGTTTTTTCAAGGTACAGCTGACTAGAAGTGTAGGGAAACCTGAGTCTGTACTCATAAAGCTTCTCAGAGTAGGAGAACTGATCTGGGATCTGATTTCTCACTTATTTACCTTACTAACAAGAACGAATCCTCTTAGAAGCTACTCCTGCTCTTAGAAGCTTTATGAATATAGCCCTAGATCTCAGACCCTGAAATACTGCACTGACAGAAATTATGCCTTGAAGTTTGTCGCTGTCCAAATAAAACCAAGTATCTCATTTTCATTTTTCAGCATTTGAGCACACCAGCTGCCCTTTATGTTGTGTGACAATTTCATGATGAATGGATCAATACAAATGGTCCAAAATTGCTTGGAATAAAATCTCTTTACATTAACTTATGTTAAAAGTACCCATTTTGCCTGTAAAGCTGTCACTTTTTGCTTTTGTCTGGACTGTGATGATTTGCTTTATACAAATGTGTGCACCATTCCTATGAATACATTTTTCTGCAGGTTTTAGTGCACAGTTTCTATTTTAGTTTAGGGGTGCAAATAGGGTCTGACAAGTGGTGGGGGACCAACATCAGGAGGCAGTAGTTTACATACAGCAATTCAAATGTGAAATTGGGTAAACACAGTACACCTACAATTACATGTATCATACTGATACC